CTCGTGTGACTGCACAGAATCCCCCAGAGTTTTCTACATTTCTGTCAACTTAATCCATTAATTCCAAATCTACAACCTTTATATCTGAATCAATATGATGTTTAGATGGATAAAGTTTCCAATTATATCCATAGCAAGGTCACAAACTTTTCAAGATCTAAACTTTATGCACTAAAGTGACCAAAATCTCATAACAATCAAGACTAGCTGGATGGATCAAATGCATTATCAAGATACAAACTTTATACCTCAAGAATAAAGATCAAGATGAAAAAAGTCTGGATCTACAAGCTCCAATGCAATAAAAACTTCTCCAAAGAGCTCCTTCATCTACAAGATGCGTTAAGAACACTCCAAAGCACTCAAGATCACCTTCGTTTGCTCAAAAGGATCAAACTAGGGTTAGGGTTTTCATGGGAGGGTGTTGGAGAGGTGGAGGCTGAGAATGGAATGTGTTTGGGGAAGTTAAGGAGCTTAAATATGGCTCAAACCACAAAAATAGGGTTTGGGCACTGATCGTGTATGCCCAACATACTCCTGGTGGCCCAACATACTCAGATATGCCCTAGTATTCCCAGCGTATGCGACTTTACCCAAAACCGTCCAAAGTTCAAATAGTCATAACTTCTTCGTTTCAACTCCGATTTCGATGAACTTTATATCCACTGAAAGGTATTGAGGATCTCTACAACATTATCTAATTAATTTTTGACTTAAAACACATCGAACTAAAATCCATAATTCATAAAAGAAGTTTGAAACACTACTTTTCCCATTTTACCCTTTGACTCCAAAGCACAAACCGAACTCTTGGATCACATAATCTACGTTACCCACATCCGAGCTGGTCTAAAGCACTCTTTCCCAAATCCCGAAGCCTTATGATAATTGATCTTCGGGTCATGACCCCGAATTATGAAATGCTCAAAAGGATCAAACTAGGGTTAGGGTTTTCATGGGAGGGTGTTAGAGAGGCGGAGGCTGAGAATGGAATGTGTTTGGGGAAGTTAAGGAGCTTAAATATGGCTCAAACCACAAAAATAGGGTTTGGGCACTGATCGTGTATGCCCAACGTACTCCTGGTGGCCCAACATACTCAGATATGCCCTAGTATTCCCAGCATATGCGACTTTACCCAAAACCGTCCAAAGTTCAAATAGTCATAACTTCTTCGTTTCAACTCCGATTTCGATGAACTTTATATCCACTGAAAGCTATTGAGGATCTCTACAACATTATCTAATTAATTTTTGACTTAAAACACATCGAACTAAAATCCATAATTCATAAAAGAAGTTTGAAACACTACTTTTCCCATTTTACCCTTTGACTCCAAAGCACAAACCGAACTCTTGGATCACATAATCTACGTTACCCACATCTGAGCTGGTCTAAAGCACTCTTTCCCAAATCCCGAAGCCTTATGATACTTGATCTTCGGGTCATGACCCCGAATTATGAAATGACTCGAAACAGAGTGTTACATTATAAAATTAGAATTGATTGTGTTAGATTTTTAGGTTTATTAGTTTGAGTGCATATAAGATAAATTGATAAAGTTCGTAATTAATAAGTTAAAGTGCTTGTATTTAGAAAAGTAAAGAACTAAAGAGCTATGTTTCTTTATATACTTGTGAATATAATATAATATAAAAGTACGATGCTATAATAGAAAATAAACAAAATTATGATATTATAAGTAATAAAAATATGATACTTTTGTTAATTATAATATTAGACTTTTGTTTATTTCTATCATGACATCGTACTTTTAATATTATAACTTTCAATAACTATATATACAATATAATTTTTAATAACTATATATACAATATAATTTATATAGCCCAAATATAATCTAACTTTCAATAAATAAATTTATACAATATAATTTTTAATAATGAAACAACAATGACGATCGATAAGAGTTGGATCAGAGAGAAGTGAATGTATTCAAAATACTTGGAAGGTCTTAAAAACTTTATAAAGATTGCTAAGAAACATGTCAACTCTAGAGACAAAGTGTGTTGCCTATGCAAAACGTTCGTGAATTCATATCGATATGTTTTGCCTACGATTTAGTCCACTTACATGACATTGGGTTTCTAGAAATATATACTACGTGGGTTCATCATAGTGAGAAACATGTTGGTTCTTCGAGTTTAGGCTACAATTTGACTTCAAGAATAAACACTCTAGTAAACACTCTCGCAACTAATGAAATGTTTGATGTAATTGATGATGTTATGGCAGAACAAAATCAAATAAATAAAATATAGACGACGAGGGACAAGGTATAGACCCATAATTTGATGCTTTATTTGAGGAGCTCAATACCAAGTTATACCATGAATGTAGCGAGATGTCTTCCTTAAACTTTTTGGCAAATTTGATGCATATTAAAGTGGGAAATAGATGGATAAATAGTTTGCTTGACCAACTTGTAGAGTTACCAAGAGCTGCTTTCCCGGAGTGTAATATTCCAGCCTCACATTATGAACCTAAGAAGAAGTTGAGAAAGATATGGTTAGGATATCAATCGTTCCACACTTGCAAAAATTACTATGCTTTTTTTTGGAAGGAGAATGATTCCGTGTAGAATTGCCTGGTTTGTAAGGAGAGTAAATGGGTAGACACAACTACAAAGGGGAAAAAAGTACCACAAAAAGTGTTGTGGCACTTTCCTTTAACTCTAAGGTTTCAACGAAGGCATAGCTCCAAATTCACAGCTAAAGATATGAGTTGGCATAATATTGGACGTTCAATAGATGGTATGATGTATCATCTGGTTGATGGGAAGTTATTGCAAGATTTTGATCAGAGATATCCAGAGTTTGCCAAAGAACCTAGAAATATTCGTCTAGGTTTAGCTGTTGCTAGCTTTAATCCATTCGACAACTTTTAGTACTTATAGTACTTGTCCAATTATACTGACTACCTACAATACACCACCATGGATATGTATGAAAGAGTCTTCTTTCATGCTAGCTTTGCTGATTCCTGGTCCTATATCACCCTCAGAGGACATTGTTTTTTAATAGTTTTTTTAGAGTATGTTTATTGATGGTATGTTACGGTTGTTATACATTTTGATTGCTTAAAATTGTTTCTAATATTTGTTAAACAGATGACAACTAATGTTGTGAGGTGCATGGAGGAGACGGTGGTGAAAGACCTCCACATGGGGGCACAGACAAGATACCAGCGGGTTGTCAATATTGTAAGTTACATGAAGTTATATATTAATTATATTGGATATATTTTTGAAGTTTTAAATTTCTAAATTTTCAATTCTATGTATCAATGTAACAAACCCGACACATCAACGTGGCAAGGAAGATGTTTAAATATACGAAAAAAGTTCTTGGCCAGCAGTAAAAAGCTTTTACCCATGGAAGTTGATAGAGCTGGGGGACCTATAAATTCATAAATAATAATGGCAAAATGTTGATATGGTTTATCTCAAATTATATGTCAGAAAATGTACCAATCCATTGTAGGACCTAGTGTTCATTTCCATTTCTGTGAACATATGTATCCTGCGATAGAAGTAAGTACACAATACTTTTTATATGTGAAAGTTTTTATACTTTTTAAATATTTTTTTACTAATTGAATTTGTTTTTTATTGCAGACATTTTTTATCTTGATATGTATTGAGTTACATGTATGTGGGAAGCCTTTTGTGCGGTTGTACAAGATGACTACCAAAGAGCTTATACCAAAGAGCTTATAAAGAACAAAAACATGTTATGAAAAGATATTTTGATGAGGTTGATGGATATGATGATGTGAAATGTGCATGACAATGTCCACTAGAAGATATGACATCCAAGCTTGGGATGACATGATTAATCTTCGTTTTTTGGACGAAGGTTATAGGAATCAGTGCGAAAAATGTAAAGAAAGTAGGGTCAAACTTCCATATACGAGTTCTCATGGAAGTGGATCATATGCAGACAGACGTCATGAAGAGGTAATTAAATTTATTTGTATTATATAAATTTTTTATTAACACTAATATAAATGTATTAATTGTTTTTGGCTTATTATAGAGAGCAAATAGACAAAACCCACAACATATGGATGGTTGAAAACAAATGCGATTTAAAGAAAGTCGGGGTTGGTATACACCGCAAACAGTAGTAACTTGGGTAAGTAATAAAACAAAGTTAATATGTTATTTGATAAATATTTTATTATTATTATTATTATTATTATTATTATTGTTGTTGTTGTTGTTGTTGTTGTTTTAAGATATATTATTATTATTTTAGTGTATAAATTTAGTTATTTGTTTTAATTAATGTATATTTATTGTTTTTTTTATTATTTTAGGAAAATATTCAACGAGAGGAGATGTTAATGCAAGAAGAGCTCAGAAAAAACGAAAAGTTAAATGAAAAACATTGTATCACTCGTTCCTTCGGTGAGAGATGTGGGCATATTTGTGGAGTTGGAAGGAACCAAGCATCACTAATAATTTATTTCCAAATGAACATTCTAAATGTTCCAACGTTTCCACATCCTAATCTTCAGATAATTCTCAAATTGCTCCGTTAACCCAACAAGTATCATACATGCAACAACAAATGCTACAAATATAACAAATGTATAATAGCACATTCACAACCCTCATTCCTAACTTTCAACCACAACCAATATCACAATTTCAATTCAATCCAAATATATTTTCACACAATACCCAAGAACCAATGTTTTATATTGTTTTTGAACAATGTTTTTTGAAGATTTTTTTGTTGTTATTTTGCTATTTTGTAGATTCGTTTTTAATTTTAATGGTTTGTTATAGCTACTAAGTGTTTGATATTATTATGTATATACTGTTTGGATTTGTTTTAAAAAACAGGTTTTGTACATATAACAAAATCTCTGAAAAATATTAAAAAAAAAAAGATATACCGACGACATGTTGTCGGTATAGCTTTATAATTGTAATAACCGTTTCACATTCACCGACGACATGTTGTCTTTATTACTAGAACGGAAGTTATCTTCCACCTCCTTTTCCAGACCACAAGTCGTTTGGAATGCTTAAACCTGTCCCGGCGACATGTCGTATGGATTGCTTAAACATGTCCTGACGACATGTTGCCATAATAGATTTATAATAAAACTTTTTTTCCTCGAAAATTACTCCTGACGACCCTTTGCAGACGACATGTTGTTGACATTGTTGGCTCTGTACTGACGGCATCAATCCCGACGATATTTTCCACTTTTACCGACGGGGCTATGCCGACGACTTTTTACGGACGACAAGTCGTCGGTATATGCTTTCCCGGCGACATGTAGTCGGCATAGTGGCTGAAAGTGTCGTCGGCATAGGCCTCATTCCTCGTAGTGTGTTCATGATACTACTAGCCTACACTTGTGTGTACTCCACACCTCTTGATATAGACTTGTACTTACCTACTATCTTATTCGGTACTCTTGAAATTTCAATCATCTAAAGTGTGTAATGACACTAAAATCACTAACAATTGCAACCTAAACATCATAGACTGTCACATTTATCATCGGGCTAGAACTTTTTTTTGTAATTTAGAAAAGAATATTTTTTCTATTGTTATTAGAGCATAAACCAAAGTTTCCATTGTGTAATGATAATAAATACCTTGGTTCGGGTATCTGGTGGCAAGAGTTATGCAGTACTTTATCAACATACAAGCTTATATATCTGAATCATTTTAAGTTCAAGAGGTATTTGTACATTGCATTAAGTTTCTACAGTAGAGACAAGATACAATTTCTAATGATACACACACATGACTTGCCAAAAACTGTTAAATCCACCATTTTCCCGCTCCAGCATCATCTGAAGATCATAATCTCAACAACCCCTTGCTATTTAACCCTTGAATGCCTGAAAACCCATGCAAAAAGTTAGCCAATTGGTCTGCATCCAATTCAATCACATGTACATTAGTTGTTTAAATATTTGTACTTACAGCAAAAATAGTGGCGTGACCCGGGTCAGCAAGGTGAGCAAAGAGGTTATCAATGGGTCCAGTTCCCGTGTAGATTGCTTGGAACCAAGCACCCATGACAGCCAACATAGCCAATCTCCCATTCTTGATCTCCTTTGTCCTCAATTCCTTAAGCTTTGCAGGTGAACCACTCCCCCATCCGAGTGGGTCGAACCATAGTCCACCTGGGTACCCAACATCTGTACCTGTTAGCTTGTTGTTGGGGAAGATGGGATCGGTGTTAACACACCCAGGTTTGAGAATGTCAGCCCATCGTCTTCCTTCTGCCCAACCGATGAAAATAAGCTCCACTATGAACAGTGTGGTTTTGTCGGTGAAGTACTCTTGCTCACCGGCTGTGTACCATGAAGGAGTGTTTAGGATTCCGATTTTTGTTAGGAATTCCGGGATGAAGATCCCAGCTGCTCCTAACATAGCCCATCTGCAGTGTACTATTTCCGCTTGCACGTTCCACCTCAAGGTCTCCGGGTCGGATCCTACAGTTTAGAAACTCGACCTCAAATCAGTAAGTAATTTATCTTCAAATCTTGCGATGATCTATATATTGACTATTGTTGTTTTGAAAAAATCATCAACAGAAATCATAACTATGAATCTATGATCATGCTTACCTAGACCAAGAGGATCGAACCCGAAGTCTCCCGGTAGGCTGCCGTCGAGCCATTCCGGAGGGGTGCTGCCGGGGAACCAAATGGGTCTTTCGGGGTCGGCGGTAACGCATACTGTCCCGGAAGATCGTGCCACGGTTGGTGCAGTGACCTTGCTGACTCTTAGTTTCTTCCCACAAAGAAAGGAAGCTTTTGTTGATCCAACAAAAGATCCATTCTTCTGTGAACTACATAATCGCACATCAAAATTCCCAATTACTTAATGCACCCACACATTGCAAATGCAAAGTAGAAAGGTAGAGATTTGAAGAAGCTTACGCTGGAGAAGAGAAAGCAACAGCTGCGATGGCTGAAGAAGCACAGACAGTGGAAGCCATTGTTGTCTCTGCAATTCTTTGCCTTCAAGAATTAGTGATGAAGAATGAGTAGGTTTGTGTGGAAGAAAGGGGTGTGTGTTAATGTAAGGCGTTATGAGCTTATCTCCAAGGATAGGAGTAGAAGAAAGAATGCTGTGATTGGCTGTGCGGGTTGCCACGTGGGCCCTAATAGAATCTATTCTTGCTGATATGTAACGGGATAAACTTACACTTGTGGTTCGTGTAGTAAATTACGTGTGGCTTTCAGGATAAAACCCACTCACAGGATTCTTGATCCTTAAGGGCGATTTTGTCTTTTCCCCAATAAGGACAGATGACCCTATTTTGAAGGCCAAGAATTCTCTGATCAAGGTTGTATTTTTCATGGACCATCATCGTTGGACACGTAATACTTTTATTTGAAGTCCATTGGATCATGGATAACACTTGAAGGCAGCCTTTCAAGACGTACTAGTTTTATTTTAGGTTTTCCAAACATGATGTTGGAAATTTGAGTTAAAAATAAACAAAGATCTTCAAGTATTACTCTATTTGGTGATCGAATTAGACAATGACCTACAAATTCTTTACTTTAAATCAAAGCTTTTTGAAGCGCATTTTCCAAGTACACAGATGCTACTACTACTACGTATAATCTAATGTTTTTTCATGATTTTATTTCGTGTATATATATATATGATCAAGGCATGTGCTTGACTATCATTGTACCACTATAATTTGCAATCATAGAAGTTACAAATCTTTGCCATCTTATTATTGTAAAGTTACAAGTATCGTATAGAACTTCTCTGGATCAAATTATTATGTGCAAACACAAAAAGTTTTGTAATTATTTTGTTATTTCTCGTTTTGGTTCTCTCCTTTTCTTAAGGGGTTTTTGATCTTTATCATAAAAGGACAAGAAAAATGCTTCAAATTGTCAAATGTCAATAACTAACAACTTTATTTGTTAGCAGTATAAATTTAAGTCTTGCTAAATTTGCTTAGGTCATATACGTTTAAATAGAACCGACCCTAGAAGAGTTCAAATAACACTAGAAATATTATAATCTTGAAAGGTTGTAGTTACAAGGGTGTTCGTATTTATGTTTTCAAAACAATTACTATAAAGTCCAAATATAAGGATCAAATAATCATAAAAAATGGCTTGTTTTTCTTAGAGAAACGGCAATAAATGTCTTACATATTGGTTTCATAATCGATTTAGTCTCTATACTTTTTTTATTCAATTAAGTCTCAAAAACCGATAATCATATTCAATTTAGTCATTTTACCGGGTTAATAGGTCATCTAACTTTCAAAAATTATATTTTTTGCCTAGAATTTAAAATTTATTACAAATTTGGTCCAAAATTTATACTGTTGACCCATATTTTAAATTTTATTATAACTTTGGTCCAAAATTTACCCTCTTGGCTCAAGTTTTAGAATTATGTTATAAATTCATCGTAACTTTAGTTTTTTTACAACTTTTTTCTCAAAAAAAAATCGAATATGTTTTTTCTTTATAAAATCATATTTATACAAATAAAAAAAACATATTTTCCCATAAAAAATCTTATATTTTCTATATAAAACTATTTTTTTTTTGTATAAGAAATACCTATTTATAAAAATAGGTATTTATTAAGTACATAAATATATACAAATCCGTTTTTATAATATATATATATATATATATATATATATATATATATATATATATATATATATATTATCCAACATATCTTCCCATTCTACCTTTATCTAAAAGATCAAAACTGTAACATCTTTTCCTCTTACATTTTCTTCATATTCGTCTTCATTTCCATCATTAAGAAAAAAATCCAAAACGACGATCTAAGATCTCATATTTAAACCCACAATTAAGTTAAAATTTAAAGCAAGTTTAAAAAAATATCAAAAGCCAAACGAAAATGCAAATAACTCAAAGCTAAAAGTGCAAACCAAAAAGAGAAATATGAAAATAGAAAACCTAAAGAAAATCTAAAAAAACTAAACCTGGAATCCGAATAAAACAAGTCATGTGAACTCAAATATAAGCCTAAAGCCTTTAAAAAGTCGTGAGATGGACCAAGTTCAAACCCAAACTTAAAAAGATAAATTTAAATAAAACAATAGAAAAGCAGTAAAAGACATACATAAAAAAATTGTTAATATTATTTTAGAGGGTGTTATATTGATTTGGTGGGAAAGACTCTAAAATAGGTTCTCCCGAACGTTCAACTCACATACCCACTTCTAGTGAACTCCTAGTTAAAACTCTGACCTGAATACTAAACATTCCATATGAAAGTTCATTGTTTTACCCGATGGAACACTAAGTGATTAGTGGGAAATTTTCTAATTGTTTTAATCATTTATGCTTCATTTGCAAATTGAACTATTTCTATTATAGTGAGTAACACACAAAAATGTTTCATTTTTATTTATTTTTATTGTTTAGGTTCGAAAATATATATTTAATATATATATATATATATATATATATATATATATATATATATATATATATATATACACAAAAAAAAGTCCTTACATAGGTATTTAGTATACAAAAAAAAAATAATAATAAAGGTTTTATATAAAAAATATAATATTTTTTATGGGAAAATATGTTTTTTTTTGTACAAATATGATTTTATAAAGAAAAACATATTCAATTTTTTTTGAGAAGAAAGTTGTAAAATAACTAAATTTATGATGAATTCATAACATAATTCTAAAACTTTGGTAAAAAGGATAAATTTTGGACCAAATTTTTAATAAAATTTAAAATCTGGGCTAAAAGTGTAAACTTTGGTCCAAATTGTAATAAATTTTGAAATTTGGGCCAAAAATAGAATTTTTGAAAGATGACCTGTTGACCAAATGACTAAATTGAATACGATTACCGATTTTTGGAACTTAATTGAATAAAAAAATATAATGACTAAATCGATTAGAAACCCAATATGTAAGAACTTTATTGTAGTTTTCTCTTTTTCTTAAATGATTTTATTAATTGCTCTTAAATGAGTTAATTGCTTAGAAGTTTAGTCATTTTCCCGATTTATGCAATTATGTTATTTTCATACAAAACATACAACAACGTTTTAAATTAGGTCCTAAATTATGCAAATTGTTAACCTTGCTACTGTTAAAATTTTAAATTAGGTCCTAAATTATGCAAATTGTTAACCTTGTTGCTGTTAAAATTTAATTGATGTTATCTGTCAATTGTAAAACCATGTATTGCTTATGGGGACAACCTACATGTATAGATTGTCCATGTCACCCCTCCTCCAAATAATCGAAATATGTAATTTAAAATCTTAAGTTGTGATCTTGTTTTGAGATTGATACGTTGTCATCTTCTTTCCAACAATATGATGCCAATCTTCTCTTCTAGTTCACTTATTTTCATTGTGATGTCTTCTCTGCTATTGTTTTGTCTTTCTCTTTACTCACAATTCAGTCATATATCAAGAATAGTTGGAGGAAGTTGTTTCATTCGAAATTTACCAAAATTCTAAAAAGCTCGTCATGACTTCAAGGCTTGTACATGCCGCCAAATTTTAACAAAACGTTGTTTTAACTCACATATGTGTATAAAAATGAATAATAATAGAAAATACATATAAAAATATTATTTATATTCAAAATTGTCACCTTATGTCACACCTTACAAACAGCGTAGCTCGCCAAGATTCAGAAAAGCTTGAGGCTTGATATTGTCATCAAGTCACGTCTTACATTATTTAAAACCTTAAAATTTACCATCTTCTACTTATATATATATATATATATATATATATATATATATATATATATATATATATATATATATATATATATATATATATATATATTTATTTTGAATGTGTACCATCTTCTACTTATTTGACCTTATGATTGATTATGGCATCCATTATATTGCTATCTCTTTTACCGATTAGGGCAAGATTAAGAGTTAAAAATCTTTCAGTGAAAATTTTTCAATGTGCGGCTCACTAATTTTGTGTTCTATGTTCTTCAATTTCTATTTTACAAAACAGTTGCTAACAACCAAAGTATATATTAGAAAGAAAAAACATCATAAATGGTCCCTGTGATTTCCCAAAATCTGAATTTTAGTCCCCATGGTTTAAAAACCTCATAGATGGTCCCTGTGTTTTCAAAACATTTGAGGATTGGTCCTTATAGCTAACTTCGTTAAGTCTTGTCTGTTAACTCAAGGGTATTTTCGTCATTTCACTACCACATGGACCATTTATGATGATTTCTCTTATTTCATAAAAAAAGAAATTATATACAAAAGTGTCATCTCTCTCTCTCTCTGTCTCTCTCTCTCTCTCTCTCTCTCTCCAATTTTCTTCTTCATTTAGCACCACACAAACACCCCCGATCCTTGTTGTTGCTATCCCCATTTCTTCTTCATTAGACTGCCAAGACTCACCCACCGGAGGTGGGTGGTCCTCCGATCGCCTGAAAACGCGAACATGAGAGAGAAGAGGTTGGGGGCTTGGGGCAAATTGAGGAACACAATCCAGTCTCAACGTTTTCGATGAAATGGAGAAGAACAACAATTGGATGCAGATTGAATCATATTTCAATTAGGAATACACGAAAGAACTCGGTCTACAAAAATCCTTTCGTCTTCTTCAAATGGGATTTACAAACATAGAGCTTCAAACATGAAAAATCAAATTTGTTCTCTCCATCGAGCAACCCCCAGAACCAGTTGATTATCTCTTGACCTCTGCCTCGCTCTCTCTCTTCCTCCTGTAGCTTGAGTAATATGCCTCTCACTGGACCCTTCTGTATACGCTTCATTAGATGAGTTGAGATTCCAACGATCTTGTTGCGGAGGCGCTTTGACGGATGATGCAAACTTCTTCCTAGATCTTCTTGTTATTGTGTGGAAATCCAAGGTCATTTTGGAATAGTACCGCTCAATTACAAGGCGAGAGGATTTCTCGGTGGAGAGGAGGCAGCGTCTGCTGCTTTTTGCTTGGAGGGATAACGAGAAGGAGAGGTTTGGGTTTGCAAATGGGAATTAGGGTATTTTAAACCTATCACCATAGATTTTTAACATCAATCGCAATCGGTTTTCCAAGCAAAATACACCCGATTATGAACTCTGCGACGAGAGAGAGAGAGAGAGAGAAAGGGGGAGAGACCTTTTTTATTTCATTTTTTCTTTTTTTTTTAAACAAGTGAAAACATCATAAATAGTCCCTATGGCAGTGAAATGATAAAAATACCCTTTAGTTAACGGACAAACTTAACAGAGTTAGCAATAAGGACCAATCGTCAAAAGTTTTGAAAACACAGGGACCATCTATGAGGTTTTTAAACCAT